CCTTGCTCACTACCAACCCTGTAAACTGTTTCTCAGATGGTATCCTGGCCTGACACCAGGGGTGCCACACTCAAATCAAAGCCAAACTCACTGGCCATCCAGTCAATGCTGACTCCTAGGGACACCCCCTCCCCGCCCCCCGTGGGTTTCAAGACTGTAACTGTTTATGAGAGTAGAAAGCCCAGTCTTTCTACTGGGTGGTTTTGAACTGCCGACCATGCGGGTATTGCAGCCCAACTCGTAACCACTATACCGACAGGGCTCTTCACTCTCTTGTGAAGCACACTCGCTTTAGTTCTCCCGAGTACAGGGGTCCCGGCCGAGTCCAACTTGACCCACTCAGAGCAGAGAGCAGGAAAGGATGAACCCAGTTGGTGCAAGTCAAGCCCTGGGAGTCAGCCGGTTCATCTTCTTTTGTACCAGATTCCAAGCCCCAAACCAACTCGATGGGATACATAGCCCCCCTACAGGGCCAAGTGAAACTGAGAAAGAGACAACCTCTTCTCTCTCTTGAGGGGCGGCTTGGTGGTCTCAAACTGCTGACCTTGCAGTTAGCAGTCCATCCCTTAACCCAAGACCCCACCAGGGCTCCTTCCATGGAGGGGCCAGTTTGGGTTTTACACTCCTGCTCCTTGTAGTTGAGGTCCTGCGTCCTGTGGCTCAGGGCGGAAGGCGGGCTTGAACCCAGGGCCTCTGCGGAGGATGTCGGCTCTACCAGGGCAGGGGTTGGGTCTCTGTTTCCGGAAGTGCCCAGCCCAGGGCCTGCAACCAGCAGTCGCTTGGCAAATATTGGTTCTGCAGAGCAGTCCCGGGGTGCTTGATAACTGTGGGTTTCTGCAAGGAGAAGGTGGGCTCAGGTGTGCTGTGGGGCTACCAAAGCAGGGCCAGGCAGGGACATGGTGTGAGGCTGCCAGGCTGGGTGGCCAGCCCAGCTTTCCGGACTGGACCCGTCGATTTAGATGTGGAGTTTTAACTGTTGGCCTCTTTTCCTAAGAAGCTAAACTGATTACCACTCACCGGTTTCTGAGTTGGGCCTGGGCCCCACCTGTGAGTGGGGAGACTCCGAGGTGGTCACTGCGTGCCTCAGTTTCCCTCGCGGGAGAATGGAGCCTGGTCGGCCTCCTCCCACAGTTGGGAGGTGTTGTGGGGCGGGGCGGGGGAGGAGGGAGGGGACCGACGGCTCCCAGCCTCCGGGTGATCTAGGGTGGCCCTGGTGGCGGGAAGGGGGCGGGGTGAGCTAAATCGGGCCTGGCGCTGAGTGGCGGGAGCAGCTGCCGCCTCTGGGTCCGCCCCGCCTCCCCCGTCGGTCGGTCGGTCCGTCCAGTGGCAGCCTCTCAGCTTGAGCCTGTCGGACCGGTTTGGGTCGCCGCCCCGCCTGGCTCCTGGCTGGGAGGCGCCGTTTCGTGCCCGAGCCTCCCGCGGGACGCGGTGGGTGCGCACAGCAGAGCGCAGGGGCCGGGCGCCCGCAGGCATGGGGGGCGAGCGGCAACATTACTACGGGAAGCACGGTAGGCAGCGCCCCGGGCCCGGCCTGGGCGTGGTGCTGGTCCTCACCCCCTTCCTGCCGCGGCCTGGGGTTCCTAGAGAGCTGGGAGGGTGGGGGATGAGGGCGGCGGGGGAAGGGGCGGAGTGACAGGGTTGTCCGGACGGCCCCTGTCCCCATCACCTGCCGGCACCTCTCCCCCCCAGCTCCATCTCCAAGCCCCCTCCAGGCATCTCCGGCAGCACCCTGGGGAGCCCCCTTCCCGACACTCCTGGTATCTTCTCCCAAAGGTCCCACTCCAAACCTGCCAGCCTCACCTGGAGGCCACCATCCCAGCCTTCCTCCCCAAGGGGTAGTTCTCAGGTGATAGGAGTGAGGAGTTTCATCTGCAGCCCCCCACCCCGGTAACTGGCAGAGATCACTCACGCTGGTGTGGTGGCCTGGAGGTTCCCGGGGACTGACAGGAAGCCCACCCACTTTATCTTAATCCTTCCTTGGGCCACGCCCATAGAGGGCTTCTGGGAGGGGAGCCCCGCCAGCCTCTTAAGCCCCAACTCCATCCTGTTGATTTTCAGGGACTCCACAGAAGTATGACCCCACCTTTAAAGGACCCATTTATAACAGGTAAGAGCTCTAGGGTTCCTGTGGTGGGGGCTGTTCACATACCCCAACTCTTGTTTCTAGACACACCCACTCATCTGTTTTCCAGCCAACTAGTGATGGCTTGGCCATTTAAGGATGAGAGAGCAAAGAGCTTACCCTCAACTCAACTGCCTCCAGTCAATCCTGACTCCGAGGGACCTTCTAGGACAGGGTAGAATTCTTTGGGGGTTCTGAGACTGCGTTCTTTACTGAGGCAAAGGCCTTCTTTTCTTCCCCAACTGCTGGCCTTGTGGTCTGCAGCCCAGGGTCATTCACCAAGGGTCGGTCCTTCTCTTTCAGAGCCAAAGCAATTTCCGCAAAGGAATGTTAGGCGGCCAGGACTGAGACAGATGATATCTCCTAGAACAGGAAACATTGTAACAAAATGGCATTTCCTTGGCCCCAAGCAGCAAAGGTTACAAATGAACAATGCTTCCTGGGCTTGTGGAACTAATTGGGGTAGCCCTTCTTGGGGAGGTCTCTCCTGGGGGAATTTGGGAATATGGAAATGTATTGATGTGCATCATTTTGTCCCCTGGCATTTAAATTCTAAGCAGGGGGAAATTATCCCGACGAAGCCCTGCGTACATGGATGTTAATGTCAGCCCTGGCTACCTTTTTGAAACTAGTAAAATTCAACCAGCAATCTGAACTTAGGAACTAGTTAGCTAAATGGCAGTTTCTCTGTTGCCCTTGCATCAACAGCCCCCCTTGGATCCTCTATAAGGGCCCTATAGGACAGGGTAGAAGAACCCCATAGGGGTTTAAGTCTGCGACTTTTAAGAAAGGAATCAAATTGGTTAAGATTTTGCCCGGTAACTGAAAGTGGGCCGGTACGAACCCACCAGTCCATCTTTGGGAGAAAGATGCGCCATTCTGCCCCTGATGGCATCCTGGGAAATCCAACCGAGCAGTTCTATTCAGTTCTGTAGGGTCTCTGAGTCCCAATTGACTGGAAAGTGATGTGTTTAGATTGGGATCGCCATGGAAGCAGACTGCTGTAATTTTGCCCGGCGGGGCGGCTGGTGAGTTCAAAGTGCCCACCTTTTGCTTCAGTGAATGCTTGACTGTTGTGTCATCAAGACTTCTGGGCTGTTAGAAAATACAAGAGCTCTTTTACATGGTGACCTGGATCCCTCTAAATAGACAGAGCAGAGCAGTGAGGCACTGCGATCCGCACTGGCATTAACCAAACCAAACGAAATGGTGTTTTCAAACACTGGTATTTGGTAAATAACTCAAAGGCTCACCCAAAATGATTAACAGAGATTGCCTGAGGCAGTGGTTCTCAACCTTCCTAATGCCTCCACCCTTTAATACAGTTCCTCATGTTGTGGTGACCCTACTGTTATGAATCGGATAAGCTCTGTGAAAGGGTCGTCAACGGACCCCCAAAGGGGTCACAACCCACAGGTTGAGAACTGCTGGCCTAAGGGGAAGTGGAATTGTGGAAGAGAGAACTTGTTTCTTTTATCGTATACATTCCTGTTCGGTTTACATCATTCCCACATTCACATCCCATTGTTATGTCATGAGATAATTTTAAAATTCAGAGATGTGAAAACGGCGGCTGATAAAAATCAAAAAGAAACGAATTCACTGCCCTCTAGTTGAAGCCGACTTGTGGTGACCCTGTAGGTCAGGGTAGACCGGCCCCTGTGTGTTTCCAAGTCTGTCACTCTTCTCCCATGGGGGGAGGGCTGGTGGTTTCAAACTGCTGATCTTGTGGATTGCAGCTCAACGAGTTACCACTATGCTACCTGGTAAGGATGTGGGGAGACGGGTATTCTTCATCAAATGAGGGCTGCGCGTGGCCCCATGTTTTGATGATCAACACTGGAAATGTACATGCCCTTTGTCAGAACATTTCTTGCACCCATGAATGTGTGTTCAAAGGACACGAGGATCCGAGTATGTGTGAGTCAGGTTTGAGCCTGTGGTACCCAGCTCCAGCCCTGATGCTGCCCCCCCTCTGCTCTCCAGGGGCTGCACGGACATCATTTGCTGTGTGGCCCTGCTCGTGGCCATTGTAGGCTACGTGGCTGTGGGTATCATAGGTGAGTGGACGGGGCAGGGCTGGAGGTCCCAGAATGGGAGGGGATAGGCTGGGTCTCATGCCCAGGGGTGGAGGCGCCTCACTGGCCCCGGATCTCTCCGCAGCCTGGACCCATGGGGACCCCCGAAAGGTGATCTATCCGACGGATAGCCGAGGCCAGTTCTGCGGGCAGAAGGGCACGAAAAATGCGTGAGTTTGGCTCCTTGGGGGTTGGTGGGGATGGGGAGGGTTGGGCAGGAGGGTTCCTGAGCACAAGGGAGAAGGTTCTAGGCTGCTCCGCCCCCAATTTCCTGCTCTCAGTCATTTCATCCATAAATCCAGTGTCCAGCCCCTGTTCTGGGCCTTGGGGACTCCCCCCACTCCACGAAGTGGGACGTTGAGTGGCCTGACCTCAGGCCTCAGGCAACTCACATTTTAGGGGGACAGGCGCTGAGATGAGACAGCACCAGCTCTGACTTCAGGGGTGATGGCAGGGAAGTAAAGGGGTGTTCTCACCTGTGTAACCTGGGACACGGGACTCGGCCACCCTCTAAATCTCACCCCTGGTGAGATGAACCAGTGCCCATGGGGAGCCCAGGACCCCTGCCACCCCAGCAACAACAGACAGTATGGGAAACTGTTTTCTTTATAAAGAGAGGTGGAGACAACCATAACAGTTTCCCCTCCCCTCTGCCCGCCCCAGGGACAAGCCCTACCTGTTTTATTTCAACATCGTGAAGTGCGCCAGCCCCCTGGTCCTGCTGGAATTCCAATGTCCTACCCCACAGGTAAGCTGTTTCCCCGCCTCCCCTTCCCTCCCCGCTGCTGGCTGCTCCCCCAGCCCTTCCACTCTGGGCTCTCTGTTCAGAATGAGAATTGGGTGTCTACCCTGGCCCCCATCCCCCCTCTTCTGTGACCCCACCCCAGATCTGTGTGGAGAAGTGCCCGGACCGCTACCTCACCTTACTGAATGCCTGGGCCTCTGACTTTGAGTACTACCAGCAGTTCTGCGTGCCCGGTTTCCAGAAGAGCAGAAAGGTGGGCAGGGGGTGGGGGGCCTAGGGTGTGGGGTGCAGGGTGCTCACCTAGGGCTTAATCTCCACCCTTCCCCGCTGGCTGAGGGGACCTGGGTTTACAGCCCCAGTCCCTGTCGGTAAAGATTGTCCCTCCGGATCGCAGTGGGGCGGCTCTCCTCTGCCCCACGGCCTCGCTGTGACTTTGGCACGGACTCGGTGGCAAAGGTCTTGCTTGGGTTTTGTTTCTTTCCCCTCTCGTGGCAGAGTGTGGCAGAGGCCCTCCGAGATGGCGACTGCCCCGCCGTCCTCACCCCCAGCAAGCCTTGTGAGTCCCAGGGGTCCGGTCCGCCGGGAGGAGCTGGAGGCGGGCTTTCTGGGGTTCCTCCACCTCAAGGGACTCCCTCCTCCCCCCACTCGCACCCCCACCCCTGCAGTGGCCCAGCGATGCTTCCCTGCGGTGCACGCGCACAAGGGGGTCGTGATGGTGGGCAACGAGACCACCTACGAGGACGGGCTGGGCCACCGGAAGAACGTGACGGACCTGCTGGAGGGCGCCAAGTGAGCACTGCACCGGGGCTGCCCTGGCGGAGGGTGGGTGGGGGACCCCGTGCGCTGGCCTGAGCCCCGCCTGCCCTTCCCCAGGAAGGCCAACGGGGTTCTGGAGGCGCGGCAGCTGGCCATGCGGATATTTGAAGATTACACCGTGTCCTGGTACTGGATCATCATGTAAGTCCCCAGCGAAGGCAGCCTCCTCCTCCTCCACCACCCCAGCCGGGGACCGGTGGGGTCAGCTGATTTCCCGTCTTGTCCCCCCCAGAGGCCTGGTCATCGCCATGATGCTGAGCCTCCTCTTTGTCATCCTGCTCCGCTTCCTAGCTGGCATTATGGTCTGGGTGATGATCGTCATGGTGATTCTAGTGCTCGGCTATGGTGAGTCCCCTCCCCTTCCAGGGTCTGCAAAATGCCCCAGGGCCTTTTGACCTTGTAACTTAACCTTCGGTTAGCAGGGACTCTCCCATCCTTTGTGGGGTACTTGGGAAGGTGTTGCTCACAGCTGATGGAGGCAAGTTGAATCTGGTGGTGGTGGTGGAGGTGGTGGACAGGTGCCATTGAGTGGGTTCTGACCCAAAGCCACCCTCTGCACAACAGAAAGGAACATGCCCGGGCCAGGCTCCAGCCTGGCCATTGCTCCTCTGCCTGAGCCCGTTGTGGCCGCCACTGTGTGACTCTGTCTCCTGGGGGGTCTTCCTCTCTTTCTCTGCCCTGCCGCTTTGCCCAGCACGCACCACCACGGTGGACTGGACTTCGGAAAGCAGCTCTTCCGCCGTTGCATTTGGCGTGCCCTCTGACTGACCCCATCCTCTGGCCTTATTCCTTCCATTCATTAGGCCTTCCGTATCTGACAGGGTTTCCTTGCTACTCGGAAGATTTTCATTAGCTGCTTCCTCCAGAGTGGCCAGAGGATTCCTTTTTCATAGCCTGGCCTTGATCTGTGTGCACTTTGACGGGCCTCGGAGCGACCAGTGACGTAGCTTCCAGCCACCACAGAAAAACAAGCTGACTTGGAGGATGGGTTAAATGGGTCCCGGTGAAGGGGGGCACTGGGGCTCTGTAGCTTTACAAATCGGGGTCTGGCCCTCCGTTTGATTGACAGCTAAAGGCAGGCCACTTAGCGAGCTCATTAAGGATCCCTACTCTGCTTCTACAAGCCAGGGTTTGAATCCTGGCTCTGCCACTTCCTGGCCTTGGGCCGGTGATTCACCCTCCCTTGGCCTCTATTTCTCCCTCCACAAAATGCAGATAATTAATATTTACTGCTTGGGAGGTTTGGTGGGGCGGCTCCATGGGAATGCTATAAAATGTGAGGATGAGGGTGAGGGCACCCTGCTTAGCTCAGCCAGGCCTGGGGGCCCAAGAGACCGGGCTCAAAACATGTTAAGTGCCATGGAGTGGGCTCCGACCCATAGCAACCCTGTGCGCCACAGAAGGAAACCCTGCCCGGCCCTGCGCCACCCTCACCGTTGCTCCTAAGCCCGACCCCATTGTGGCAGCCATGGTGACCATCCATCTCATCTAGAGCCTTCCTCTCTTGCACTGGCCCTCCACTTTACCAGGCATGATGTCCTTCTCCAGGGACCGGTCTCTCCTGACAGAGCATAGGGTTTAATTATTCTGATGGTTCCTTTCAACTTTCCAGGAGGGGCAAACAAACCAAGAACTGAGAGGCGGCAGCCTCTGAGAGCAGAGACCGAAAGACTCAGGTTAATAAAACACCGCTGCCAGCGAGTCAAGGAGCCCTGGTGGCGTCGTGGTTCCAAGTTGGGCTGCGATCCTTGAGGTCCACAGTTCCACACCACCAGCAGCGCTGCGGGAGGAAGTGCCAGTCTCAGAAACTCACAGGGGCAGTTCTGCCCTGCCCTTTAGGGTCGCTCTTGAGTCAGTATTAACTCTATAGAGGTGAGAGACCGAGAGCCAATGAGTTGTTCTCAACTCACAGGGACCCTGTCGGGTGACTAGAACTACTCCCTCCTGTGTCCAAGGCTGTCAGTCTCTGTGGGAGCAGAAAGCGTTGTCTTGCTCCCAAACTGTTGACCTTGCAGGTAGCAGCCCATCACATAGCGCGCCCCCAGGGCTCCTGTGTGGGTTGGTAATGGTCTCTGGCCTTCTCCTGTTGAGCCATTTGGTAGTTTTATTCAGGAAACCCTGGGACCTTCAGCTTCTCTACTGAGTGCTGACACCCACATATGGCCAGAGGGAGACCTCCGGCTTCCTAGCATTTTGCCACCTGACAGCTCTCGGTCAGTCAGTCAGTCAGTCACAGTTTGTTCTCATGTAATCACTGTGGTTATGTTCTCTAAAGCCTCCGGGAACACTGTCGCCACAAAGAGCCGCAGCTTCCAGGGCAGCGGTTCTCAACCTTCCGCACGCTGCGACCCTTTCGTACAGTGGCTCATGTGGTAGTGACACCCCCCCCAACCATAAAATTACTTTCATGGCTACTTCATCACTGTAATTTTGCTATTTTGATGAATCGGGCGACCCCCATGAAAGGGTCATTTGACCCCCAAAGGGGTCACGGCCCACAGGTTGAGAACCACTGTTCTAGGGAACTGTGTCAAGTGCTGCTGTAACAAAAGGGGGGCTTTGAAAAACAGGAGTTGATTTTTCTCACAGGTTAGGACACTAGAAGGCCGAATTCAGGGCAAGGCTCTGGGGAGAGGGTCTTCCTGGTCAGGAACTTATCAGTTCCTTCTTGTTCCATGGCGTCTGTCCTCTCTTAAGTATTTCTGCCCATTTTACTTCTTTTACAACTCAGAAGTGATGAGATTTAGGCTCCACCCAACTCTACCATCATTGACACCACCCCAACAGAAACATGTTTCCGGTTGTTCATAGTTGCAGGTATAGGGGGTGGAATTTGAGCACATATTTTAGGGGAGGAACACAACTCATAACTGAGAGTGTAGCATTCTGTGTCTGAAAGCCTCTGGTCACAACATTTTCAACTACGGATCATACAGAAAGGAGCCCTGGTAGCATAGTGGTAATGCGTTGGGCTACCAACTGCAAGGCCAACAGTTTGAAACCACCAACCGCTCCCAGGAAGACAGGACTTTCTATTCCTGTAAAGAGTTCCGGTCTGGGAAGCTCACAGGGGCAGTTCTGCCCTGTCCTGCAGGGTCGCCATGAGTCAGACATGACTTCATAGCAGTGAGTCTGGTTTGGGGAGCTAAACCTTGTTTCTGTGTGTGTCTCTGTTTAAAGACACCTGGTTGTGTATCTTGTTGACTCAGTAACCTGGAACCCAGCACCGCACCTCAGACTGAGTGAAGAGTAGTTAACGTGCCCAATTTCGGCGTACTGGCCATCACCAGCTTGCCGTAGCTACAAATAACACCCACCCAAACGCACTGCCATTGGATCAGTTCTAACTGTGACGGCCCTACAGGGCAGAGTAGAGGTGACCCACAGGGATTTGGTGACTGTTCCTCCTGAGAGGGTCCCAGAGGAACTGGTAGGTTTGAACTGCCAACCCCAGAGCAGCCCAGTGTTTAACCCGCTGCACTATGAGGACTCTTAAACAGCAGAGGTCACCAACAAAATGCAGACAGACTGGCACCTGACAGGCTGGGCCAAGGTGTTGGTTGACAGACGGCCTTGAGAGCCCCAACACGAAGGCAGAGGGGGGGAGCCTGTTTGACCGAAGCTCGAGTCAGGTGCTGCGTGACTCATTTGTCACTGCCCTGTGTGTGTTGGTGAATAATCACGGAAGCACCACAGGCACTGGTTTTCGGGGTTGCAAATGCGGAATCCTGAGCTGAACACCAACTGGAACCCATGTGGTCTAGAGACGTACTCCTTCAGCTGCTAAACAATCACAAGGTCAGCTGTTCAAACCCAACCGTTCCTCTGGTGGAGAGAGGTGAGGCTTTCTTCTCCTGTGACGATTTAAAGCCTCAGACCCACAGAGGCAGTTCTACGCCATTGTATAGGATCGATGTGAGTTGGAATTGACTCAGTGGCGGTGGGTTTGGTTTGAGTGACAGTCTGTCTCCAGGGCCATTTTCTAGGAACGAATCCAGATGAACTCTTCCTCTCACGAGGTTGAGGGGAAGATGGACAAGCCACAAATACGCTAGGAAAATCCCCTAGGACGTTGAAACAGAAAGATAGCAGAGGGTGGAAGGGTCTGGTTCTAAATGGGGGGTGGAGACTCGGCAGAGTCTCACGATAAAGTGACATTTGAGCAGAGGCTGATCCAGTCACAGGAAGAGGATGCACCAGGCAGAAAACCACTTGTGCAAAGGTCCCGGGGCAGCACCAAATGTTCACCACCTCTTCCCCCTAGCCTGGCCTTTTGCTTCTGGAAATTGGAGCTACTTTAGAAGAAGCCTTGGGGGTGCCATGGTTAAGTGCCCAGCTGCTACCAGGGAGGCCGGCAGTTCAACCACCAGCCTCTCTGGGGGAAAAGATATAGCAGTCAGCTTCCATCTAGCTGACTTGGGCAGTCTGTGGGGGCAGTTCTTCATCCTGTGGGGTCCCTAGAAGCAGGGATCAATTTGACCGCCATGCGTTTGGGGAGTTTGACGGCTACTTCGCAAGTTTGGGAGAGGGCTTGGTGGGCAGAGTCCGGCGCTCAAGCTGCCCCTATTCTCAGGAATATTCCACTGCTACATGGAGTATGCCCGGCTGCGGAATGAGGCTGGCTCCGATGTCTCTGTCGTGGACCTGGGCTTCCAGACCGACCTCCGCGTGTACCTGCACTTGCGGCAGACCTGGATTGCTTTCAGTGAGTCTGGGGCCCCCGTGCCTGCCCCCCAGGAAGCCTGAGAGGGAGTGGAAGGCGCCCAGGAGAAGAGTGGGGTCAGCCACCCTCTCCCCTCCTCCCTGCAGTGATCATTCTGAGCATCCTGGAGGGGATCATCATCCTGATGCTCATCTTTCTACGGAAGAGGATTCTCATCGCCATTGCACTCATTAAAGAGGCCAGCAGGTGAGGAGCGGGGCGCTGGGGGTGAGGGTGGGGGAGTCTTCTCAGGCCTACTTGGGCCTTAACACCTGTGTCTCTATTTCTGTTTCTTCCCAGGGCTGTGGGATATGTCATGTGCTCCATGCTGTACCCCCTGGTCACCTTCTTCCTCTTGTGTCTTTGCATCGCCTACTGGGCCAGCACTGCCGTGTATCTGCCACTGGACCCCTGGGGCAGCAGGAGGACAGACCTGCTGGGAAGTGGCTCCGAGCTTGGGGCCAGGGCCAGAACCTGGTGGTGGGGAAATCGGTCCTTGCGCCTCTGGGCTCCCTGATCCCTGGCCTTGAGTTCCTTAATGAGCTTTCAGCTTCCTGTCGACTTCCAACGAAGCTGTCTACAAGATCTTCAATGACACTGCCTGCCCCGTGGCTAGGAAAACCTGTGACCCCGAGGTGGGTGTCCATAGTCCCAGTAGCCCTCTGACCACAAACCAAACTGTCATTGCATTGATGCTGCCTCATGGTGACCTTATGGGTAGAAGCGCCCCTGTGGGTTTCCGAGACTGTGACTCTTCACAGAATAGAAAACCTAATCTTTTTCCTGTAGAGCAGCTGGTGGCTTTGAACTTTGGACCTTGCAGTTAACAGCCCAACATATAACCACTACACCACCAGGGCTCCTTCAGCAGCCCCACTCCCGTCAGCTTTAAATCTCTCGCCTCCACTTAGTGATCTTTCAGCAAACTCTTGGCACCAATTGTATGTCCTGTGCTAGGTGACAGGGGTCTAGAGGGAATGAGACTCCACCCTGGCTCCCATCCTTGCTCAGGACCAGATGACGTTGTCCCTGCAAATTGGCAGACTCTCCCACCCTGGGTGCAGAACCACCCCTCTTGTCTTCCTGTGACGTCATCTCCAGCCCCCACAGTGGCCAGGCCTTACTTCCAGAAGGACCCCTTCCTTGCCTTCCCGAGCTCCAGTGGTCTGTCAGTTTATACTGAAGTGGCTTGCATGTTCTGATGCTTCAGGCTAGGCCACCGGTCTTTGAGAGCAGGTGCACCCCTGGTGGACAAGTTTCAGTGGCGCTTCCAGACTTCTTGGTGTTGGGTGCCCTTGAGTCGGGGGTCTCAGCGAGCCTGGGCACAGCAGAATGAACACTGCGTGGTCCCACGCCGTCCTCACAGTGGCTCCGAGGCCTGAGCTCCTTGTTGCAGTCACCGGACTAGCAAGAAGGGATAGGCCACCCGCTTGTGCCAAATAACCTTAGGAACAGCTGCGGAACGTCCTGTGGAGACGAGCCCTTCTGATGGAAAACGGACCAGTGGCTGCCACACGGGGCTCTAGTATAAGAGTGAGTGTAGTGCAGGACCAGGCAGTGCTTCATTTTGTTGTACGTAGGGTCTCTGAGCGCACAGTACCTAACCACAACCACCCAACCCTACCATTCCCAGGCTGCTTGCCCCTGGGTTGCTTGCACAAGTCTCTGCCCCTCCTGGCCTGCCCACAGGACCACTCCCCTGGCTCATGGCCCCTGGCTGGTTGCCATCATAGCTTTTCCTACTTAAGATATCCTCCCTGCCTCCAAGGGATTAAGAGCCTTCTAGAACCTTTCACACACCCCTTTCCTGAACCCCCAATCCTTTGGCTTAACTGGCTTTTGTACCAATCCCCTAAACTCCAGTGTTATCCCATGGTTTGCCTGATGCCTGGCAGTTAAAGCACCAGGTTGCTGATGGAAAGATCAGGGATTTGAGCCCATGGGACATCAGTTTAGCTGGAGAGCAATGTAGCTGACTTCGGTATAGAGCAGCGGTTCTCACCCTTCCTAAAGCCGTGGCCCTTTCATACAGTTCCTCATGTTGTGGTGACCCCCCCAACCATAAAATTATTTTCGTTGCTACGTCATAACTAATTTTGCTACTATCATGAATCGGGTGACCCCTGGGAAAGGATCGTTCAACCCCCAAAGGGGTCGAGACCCCCAGGTTGAGAACCGCTGGTCTAGATATACAACCTTGGGGAACCCCGTGGGTAGTGCTCTGCCCTGTAGGGTCTGTGAGTCGGGACAACACACCATCGAGAGTGCCCTGTGCCCACCCGCAGACCTTCCCCGGCTCCAACGAGTCCCGCCTGTGCCCCGGCGCCCGCTGCCAGTTCGCCTTCTACGGCGGCGAGTCCGGCTACCACCGGGCCCTGCTGGGCCTGCAGATCTTCAACGTCTTCATGTTCTTCTGGCTGGTCAACTTCGTGCTGGCGCTGGGCCAGGTCACGCTGGCCGGGGCCTTCGCCTCCTACTACTGGGCCCTCCGCAAGCCCGACGACTTGCCTGCCTTCCCGCTCTTCTCTGCCTTCGGCCGGGCACTCAGGTGGGGCCGCGCGTGACGTGGGGCTGGGGGTGCACACGGTGTGGGAAGACCACTGACCTGCAGCCTCTGGATGCAGGTACCACACAGGCTCGCTGGCCTTCGGCGCCCTCATTCTAGCCATTGTGCAGGTCATCCGCGTGATGCTGGAGTACCTGGACCATCGTCTGAAAGGTGTGGCTAGGGCCCCGCCATTGGCTCTCGGGTTGGGGAGGGTGGAACTAAGGGGCAGACCAGGGCTAAGGGGCTTTGGCAGTGTGCACCCAGGAAGGTAGGTTATGACTGAGGGCAAAGGTAGAGGGATCTTGATTGGTTTCTGCCCATGAAGGGTAGGGCCAAGGGGATTGCCAACCGTGGAAAGCCTACGACCTCTGAGAGGCAAGGATTTGGGGTACCAAAAGGCCTGGGCTGTGATTGGTTCCTGCGGGAGTGGGTTGGGTCCTACAGGAATTTGTTGCATGTTTTGGAGGGCGGGGCTGAGAAAGTGGCAAGCATTGCGGTAGTTCATGATTGGTTCCTGCTTGGGAGGTGGAGCCAGGAAGGTAGTGTGAAGCTTGATTGGTTCCTGCTTGGGAGGAGGAGTCAGAAAGGTAGTGTGAAGCTTGATTGGTTCCTGCTTGGGAGGTGGAGCCAGGAAGGTAGTGTGAAGCTTGATTGGTTCCTGCCTGGGAGGCGGGGCTCCTAGGTTTCCCAAGGGAGGTCCCACCTTGGGGGCGGAGCTGAGGGTCCTGCTGGTGTCTGGAAGCCCCGGGCAGTGGCAGGCCTGGTGGTGTGGGACCCGGCTGGGTGGTAGCGCCCTCACCTCCGCCTCCTCCCCTGCCAGCCGCAGAGAACAAGTTTGCCAAGTTCCTCATGACCTGTCTCAAGTGTTGTTTCTGGTGCCTGGAGAAGTTCATCAAATTCCTCAACAGGAACGCTTACATCATGGTGAGCAGGGCCACAGGGCTCGCTGGCAGCCTGGGGCTGAATGGGAGGAGCCAGCGCCCGACTCAGTGGGCCTGATCCCAGCTTCCCACCCCACCCCACCCCCCTCCAGATCGCCATCTATGGTACCAACTTCTGCACCTCGGCCAGGAACGCCTTCTTCTTGCTCATGAGAAACATCATCAGGTCTGGGCAGACCCCTTCTTCGTACTTTTTCCCCTCCTTTCCCTCTCCCTCCTTCTCCCCTCTCCCCTCTCTAACCCTCCACCCTCTTACTCTGGTCTCATCATTGCTTCCCCCCTTTATTCTCCCTCTTCCTTCCCTCCCTTCCCCTCCCCGAGCTCACATTCACACCTGCCCCTCCCTGGCCCCCTACAGAGTGGCTGTCCTGGACAAAGTGACCGACTTTCTCTTCCTGTTGGGCAAACTCCTGGTGGTGGGTAGCGTAGGTGAGTACCGCCCACCGAGGCATGGCAGCCCTTTGGGGGCCGCCTGTCTCTCGGTGACCTGCTGTCGGACCTTCTGTCTCCTCCCTCTGGGACAAGTGTCACCCCCTCATTCTGTTGGGGGACGGCATCCTTGAGCCAGAATCCTCCTCCATCACGGTTGCTTCCCTCTCCAGGGATCCTGGCTTTCTTCTTCTTCACCCACCGGATCAGGATCGTTCAGGACACAGCGCCACCCCTCAATTACTACTGGGTCCCCATTCTGGTACGGGCCTAGGGCCTGGGGAGGAGGGGGCTGGACTTGATTGGCTGCCTTTGACGGCCCAGAGGTGGACTGGGGTCAGAGGTAGGGGTCCATCGTGCTACATTTACTGAGCGCCTCCTGCGTGCCAGAAGCCCTAGTGGCACCCTGGCTTAGGGGTCGGGCCCCTCATCACGAGGTGGGCACTAGAAACCCACCAGCTGCTGCGAGGGAGAAGCTTGAGGCTCCCTGCTCCTGCAAAGGGCTGGGGTCTCCATCGCTATGGGTTGGAATCATCTCCCTGCCAGTGGGCTTTCTGTTCAGTTGTTTCCCATGTCCCAGGAGCCCCACCCCCACTCCCCGTTAGTGGTGCCAAAGGTTAGCACGCTCCTCAGCTCACTGGGAGGTTGGTGATTTGAGTCCACACAGGGGTGCCTAGGAAGACAGGCTAGGTGATAGCTGTTTCCAGAAGGCTGCTGTTAAAAACCAGTTCCGTTCTGACGCAGTGGACACGCCATGAAGCTGGGGGCCCCGCAATGGCATCTGGTGCTTTGCTTGACTGCCTGGCAGGCTGGGGGGCGGGGAAGAGGGGGGAGGCCTCATTTAGGGGTTTACAGTTAGGGAGGAAGCAGACATTTCTCAAGCAATCACATTGGTGGGTGTGAGCTGAGAGCTGATGGGTAAGGGTCAGGCCTGAGGCTGTGCGGAGACAGGGAGGGAACCCCCTAAGGGCAGGAGGGGGGGCTGACAAGAGTTGTGGGAGGGTTCGTTCTTCACCCTAAGAGCAGTCCAGGCCTGGCTTCCCCATGGCCTGGGTTTTTTATCTAAGTCTCTCTCATCTGTGCCCTATGTGCCAATTCAAAGATGAGTCATTTCACCAAGTGACTTCAGCTCTCTCAGGGTGACTACCTGCAATCCACATATATTTTATCGGCGCCAACCAAGGCCCTCTCCAAACTTTTACAGAGCTGGAATGGGGTAGACCCAGTCTGATCCAGAGAGAGACCCACAGGGCCCTAAACCCACCCCAACAGATTGCAACCCTGTGGGACAGAACTGCCTCAGAGGCTGTGAATCTTTAGGGAAACAGTGTCACAGGTGCATGTTCCCTGGGGTGGTCAGTGGGCTGAGACCGCTGACTCTGGTAGGACCAGCCTAATGTATGTCCACACTACCACCAAGTCCATGGGACTGGCAGCCACCCTAGAAGACAGGGGAGGACTGTCCCTGTGCGTTTCTGAGACTGTCAAGCTTTGGGGGCTAGAAAGCCTCCTCTTTCTCCCAAGGGGCAGCTGGTGGTTTGGGGAACCCACGACATCCATTTGTAGGACCCTAAACATGCGTAGGGTCGCTGTGAGTCGGCCCTGACCCGCTGCGCATTGAGTTTGTGTAGTTTTCCTTTGGTTTGAACATGCCTAAAATTACACCTGGATGCTTAGGGCTGAGAGAGCGGAAAACAGAGGGCCTGATGGGGAGGTGGTCCGTGAGGAGTGAATGGCTGAGCTGAAAGCCGAAGGACAAGGAGGCCCAGAGTGGACCAGTTTGAGGCAGTGGCATTTGCAAAGGGCCTGGGGTTGCAGAGAGCTGGGGGTGTTGTGTGGCTGCTGGGTCCTGCTGGCAGGGGTGAGTAGTTAGGATGCCATCCCCCTTCTCAGGGGCCTCAGGAGTGCGGTCAGCAGGGAAATGACAGGCCTGGCCTTCGGGGGCGGGGTGGGGGCCCGTGGGGAAGAGCACAGACAGGAGCTAGGTGCCTCACTGCTCTTTCTTCGGTCCCTGGGCAGACGGTGATCTTAGGCTCCTACCTGATCGCCCATGGCTTCTTCAGCGTCTATGGGATGTGTGTGGACACGTTGTTTCTCTGCTTCTGTAAGTGAGCCCTGATGTGGAGCCTGCCAGGTCCCGGGTCCCCCACCCGGGCCAGGCTCACGCTGGGAGCCCACAGCTTCCTCCCTGCACCTGCAGCTGCTTCCTTCTCTCCCCACCCGGGCCCTGGCCTCTGTTTCTGGCTTTGTTGTGGGGGGCGGGGGGTGTCTATGGCTGCCACTAATTCTGGTCTCTCCATCTGTCTGTCTGTTTTTTTGTTTTTTTTCCCCTCTCCTTACCTCTATGCCTGCTGGCTTCCCCGTCCCCCACCACCCCCTCCTCCCTTTCTCCTTCCCTTCCTGACCCCACCCCGGCTGGTTCCTGGGGGGAGCCCAGGTGAGGACCTGGAGAGGAATGACGGGTCTCAGGAGCGACCCTACTTCATGTCCCCCGAGCTGAGAGACATCCTGTTGAAGGGGAGTGCGGAGGAGGGGAAGCGGGAGGAAGTCTCCTGAAGACAGGCACCTGTTTCCTCACCGGACGCCAGGGGCATGTGGGGGCTGCCTTGCCGGGGCGCGTGGGGAGCCCGTGTGCCATGTGTGTGTCACGTTGTCCCTGAGCCTCTCCGGTCCTCCTGTCTTGTGTCCTGCTTCCTAACCCTCTGAGGCTTCTCGGGAGCCCTGATGCGTGCGCCCCCATCCCTGCGGGCCCCGCCTGGGCGCCCCCTCACACCACCCGCCCTGGGGCCTCTCTCTGCAGTGGAGGACTTGGAACGCAATGACGGCTCCGCCGAGAGGCCTTACTTCATGTCTTCCAACCTCAAGAAGCTCTTGAACAAGACCAACAAGAAGCCGGCGGAGTCGTAAACCCCCTGCCCGCGCCCCAGGCGCTCTGCCCCTGGGCCAGGACCCCCCAGGCCCCTGAGGGCCACCCAAGGGCCTGTCACTGCCTGCTTCACAGGTGTCCTGGCCCCACCAGTTTCCAGAACCCTGGAGGAGCAGGGTGGTCAATGTTTCTAGAAAGTCCCCCAAGATGAAGCTCAGGGTGGCCCCACAGCCTAGGGTGGGCTGCAGCGTGGGAGGAGAGCAGTGTAGCAGGAGTTTGAGCTTCCTACTCGAAGGTTCTCTCTCCTTGTGCGATGCTGAAC